GATTAGGGGGTACAAACTTCCAGTTACAACATGTCACAGCTATGTAAAGTACAGCATAGGGAATAGTCAATAGCATCGTAATAAACTATGTGCAGTAGCAGATGGTTACTAGATTTATTGTGGTGATCACCTTGTAAGGTATATAAATGTTGAATAACAATGTACACCTGAAACTAATACAATACTGTACATCAATGCTTTTATAATCTAAAGTAAATTTAAAAAATTTTAAAGGGCATGTTCCCAAATGTGGGCGTGGCTCAGCGGTTGAGCGTCAGCCTAGGATCCAGGTGATTGGGGTTCGATTCCCGGTCAGGGCACATGCCCGGGTTGTGGGCTCAATCCCCAGTCAGGGGCAGCCGATCAATGACTCTCTCATCATTAATGTTTCTATCTCGTTCTCTCCCTCTCCTTTCCTCTCTCTGAAATCAATAAAGATACATTTTAATAAAAAATAAATAAAATAAAATGTGTGTGTGGTGCCCTGGCTGGGTGGCTCAGTTTGTTGGAGCATCGTCCGTACACCAAAAGGTTTGATTCCTGGCCAGGACATATGCCCAGGTTGTGGGTTTGACCCTGGCAACCAATCGATGTTTCTCTCTCACATCGATGTCTCTATCTCTGTCTCTGTCTTTCTCTCTTCCCTCTCTCCCTTCCTCTCTCTAAAATCAATTAAAAATAATGATAAATAAAATAAGTAAAGTATGTGTGTGGTTAAGAAATAAATCTGCCCATGTTATCAAAAAGTAGATATGTGTGGGCATATGTGTGTGCATACACACGTGGGAGAGAGAATCTATACATGAAATGAGGTGCTCCAGGAGTGGACCCCAATCCTTCTGAGCCCCCAGACCACCAAAAATACATAGAAAAACACCATTTTTAAATTACCTGCAGTTCTCTTCCTGAATCTGTCTTTTGGTCAAGTGCCTCCCATCTCCAGTTTAAGGCATTTTCATGGAGGGAGAAAAAGAACCTGACTACCCCTTCCCCAAACTCCGACAGCTAGAAGGAGCTGTCAAGAGAAAAAGCTGGAGAAACCAACTTGAAAAAAACCCTGCAGCAAACTGTATATTATGGCACTTGACAGTTGTCCTTCACGCCCAGCATCTCATCTGATTCCTCACAACAGGGCAGGGAAAGAGATTCTTGTTTTGCAAATGAGACAGGAGCCAGAAAGGTGAGAGACTTTGCTCATACCCAGATACAACTGGATTTCTCAACACTTGAAGAACTCACTCCTGTATAAGGTAACTTACAATGCTTTTTACTATGGGAAGAAGGGAAAACCACAGAAGGGTATAAAAATGCAAAATGGAAATTACCGTTCAGCCTGCTCCTCAGAGATGAGCATGATCCCCGAGTGGATGTTTCCTTCCCATTTCTCCCTTGGCCTACATACACAATGATGGTAACATCAGGGGCGTGTTGGGCATGTACGTGGGCTGGACACCACACCAAGCACTTTACAGGTGTCCCCTCACTTAATCCTCACAACGGCAATATATCTCAAGGACATAGGGCTAAGAGAGTGACAGTCTGTCCAAGGTCAGTGTCCAATTTGAACCTGGGTCTAGTCTGACTCAAATCCCTGTGTGCGGGCACAGCTTATATCTATCTGTATTTTTTAGTATATAAAGTTGAGACCTTGATGCAAAGAGATGTATGTGTAGGTCTTTGGCACAGGCAGTGCTCACTCTCTAGAATGCACTGTCCTCCTCAGGCAAGGCCCTGCAATTTCTGTTAGTGTGCTCTCACAGGTGTGGGCATCTCCCTCTGTGTGGGTCTCCCTCCTTCCATGTGGATCCCCCCACGGGCAGGCAGAACACATGCTAACCTACCATCCTCAGGGGATGGAGGGTGTCGATGTCTACTGGATGAGAGACAGCCTATTCTGTTGCTGTGCATTGGTTTTCATTATTATTACATATCGGAGCTCTCACTGATTTTCAGCAGCAGGTGTTCTGACCCAAGATTCCCCTAACCTATTTCAGACAGTGGTCTCCAGGCAGCTTACTTACCTTGAGGCAGGACAGTAATGAGTTAGGAAAATTCCTTGGCAAGTAGAATGGGGAAACTAAGACAGATAGCTGAACAAACTGGCCGAGAAATTGGCAGCCAGATACAGAAGGTCACTTCCCTAGAGATAACATCTAGGCCTCAGTTGTATTTCAGCCCCAGGCCCAGAAAAGCAGCAATGGTTGGTGGGTGATGCCTCGACCAGCTGCAATGACTAAAGACCCCTGCCTTGGTGTTGGCCTATCAGTAAAGACCAGGACCCTGTAAGGTCATGGAAAAGCTGATGAACATTCTATTGAAATCTCACCTAAGACCTTCCCTAAACTCCCAGCCTTTAAAAATCCTCAAAACAAAACACTCCCTCCCTGGAGCACATCCATGCCTTTCCCTCTCCCCTCTTCTTCCCCCACAGTCATGCATCTCCTAAACTCTAAGGGACCCCGGAAGACTTGCAACTGGTCTCCAAGGCCCCTGTAGTGTAAAGCAAAGATATAGCTCAATTCCCCCTCCCAGTCAGTGGAAAGGTGTCCGCCTGACCAGCAGCCACAAGGAGCAGAGAAGCTCAGATTCAAGTGTTTCTCACATCCTTGAGGGCTAACAAGCCTCACCAGACTCTCTGTTCTTGGATACAAGCCGTTCCCAGCACGGCTCCCTCCCCCTCCCTTCTGCTAGCTGCTAGATAATTCCTTGCACTACCCAGCCCAGGTGAGGAAACTGGCCCAGGTGAAGAAACTGCCAACTGCTGCCACCATCAGGGTCCTCCCCTATGTGAGTAATAAAGGCTATGTCTTTTCCCTCTGGTCCCCCGCTAGGTTTTTTTCCAGACTAGCAAAGAACAGTGTGGTGCTCTCGGGGGTTGGAGCTCCTACAGTACAGCCCCCTTTTCTCTGACTTCCCAGTGGGCAACAGCAGCCCCGCCTAGGCTCATTTCTTTCCCATAGCATTTCTAGGGAGCCAAAGCAACCCCACCTAGTCTCTCTCCTGGGCCCACTGTAGGCAGAGCCCCTAAGGTCCAGGTCCCCTTCTGGAAACAACCTCTCACACTTGTGTACAGGGTACCCTGATGGGGGAGGAAGAAAGCGCTCCCTGCCCTGGAGGAAATAACCCCAATCCCAGAGAAGTCCTGATCCTGGCACTCAGCCTGCCAGGCTGGTCCCCTCCCTCACCTCCCTCATATTCCCACACACAAGCACATCCAAACTCCTGCCACCTGGGGGCCTCTACAGCTGTTGCTCTCTTAGCCTGGGGAGCCCTCTGTCCCCATCCAGGGCCCTCACTTCACAGCCCCACCCCTTCAAGACCCAGCCCAACACCTTATCCTCTCACAAGCCTTTCTGCAGCTGCCACTCTCACCTCCCACCAGCCAGAGGAGGCCTTTCCTTGCATCTGATTTGCTGCCCCTCTGCCCGTGGCCATTCTATCTGTTAGCTCTGTGACCTTGGTCAGGCGGCTCAACATCTCTGAGCTCAAATTCCTGCCTCCCAGGGAGGGGCGAGTTGTGAAAATGAGGTGGCAGGACAGCAAGCTGTAATCGAAGCACGAGACACAGACAGAGCTGGACAAAGGTTGACCCTGGCTCTGACACTGGGCGGGTCACCTAGCTTCTCCATGTCTCCCTTCCCTCTGTGAAATGGGCACAATAACACCCTGTTGTCCTGCTACCAACAAGGGAACTTTAGGTGCCAATTTGCTGTGAAGAACTGAACCATCTCCATCTCATCGAAACAAGAAGCGGTCCCACCATTGCCACCTAAACCGAGGCCCTGGGTGCCTCGGCCGAAGCCCACTCAGCGAGTTGGGGCAGAGGAAGAGACCCGGGCGTGCGGGCTGCCCGCCGGGCCGCCGTGGTCAAGGCGAAGGGAAAGGGTCCCGGCGGCGCGGGCGCTAGGAGGAGCCGGGGTGCTCCCAGAGGAGGGACAAGGCAACTTGTACCCACCTGGGGCACAGCCATCGCTCCGCAGGCGGTCAGGCGCGGTCCAGGCGCGGGGACCCCGGCGGGGGTACAGGCATGGTGGCTGTCGTGCCCGAGGGCGTCCCTCGGGTCTGCAGGGGGCTCAGGCCCTTACGAGGTGGCCGCGGCCACGGTCCCCAAGCCCCACCCTCCGCGCCGCGTAAAGGAGCGAGGGTCGTGCTGCGGTCCCAGGCGGGGATCTCGCCTGTCCCCGTCGGGTGCTCTCCCGCCGCCCCG